CCTGCCCTGGGGCTGGGCACTGCCTTCCTCCCCCCGGGCCTGTCTCCTCCTCCTGAGATTGCCAGCACTTTGGGGCAGCGCCCAGCACAACGGGGCCTTGATCTCAGCTGGAGCAGGGCCTGTCTCTCGCTGGGTCTATGCAGCGCCCGGCACAACGGGGCCTTGATCTCAGCTGGAGCAGGGCCTGTCTCTCGCTGGGTCTGTGCAGCACCTGGCATGACGGGGCTCCGATCCCAGCTCAGGCAGGGCCTGTCTCTCGCTGTGGGGTCATGTCCTAGAATGATAGCAGTTTTCAGGTATCTAAAAGGGTGTCACAAGGAGGAGGGAGAAAATTGTTCTCCTTGGCCTCTGAGGATAGGAGAAGAAGCAACAGGCTTAAACTGCAGCAAGGGAGGTTTAAGTTGGACCTTACGAAAAACCTCCTGTCAGGGTGGTTGGATACTAGAATAAATTGCCTAGGGGGGTTGAGGAATCTCCATCACTGGAGATACTTAAGAGCAGGTTGGATAGACACCTGTCAGGGATGGTCTAGGTGGTACTGGGTCCTGCCGTGGGGATCCCTTCCAGTTCTAGGATTCTATGACTGGGAGGTGGCCTCAGGTTTCCTGGTTGGTAACACAGAGGGGAGGCAGGGTGGGCGATCAAGTGGTGGGGCACACGCAAGGGACCTGGCTTCGTTTCCTGCTGTCCTAGAATGAGAGCAGTTTTCAGGTATCTAAAAGGGTGTCACAAAGAGGAGGGAGAAAAATTGTTCATCTTGGCCTCTGAGGATAGGAGAAGCAGCAACAGGCTTAAACTGCAGCAAGGGAGGTTTAGATTGGACATTAGGAAAAAGTTCCTCACTATCAGGGTAGTCAAACACTGGAATAAATTACCCTGGGAGCTCAGAGCCTGCGAGGGGGCCACAAATGGGCCCCCCAGGCCTGGAATAGGGCAGCTGGGAGTGGGAGAACGAGAGAGTCTCCCATGATGCAGAACTGGGGAGGCAGACTCCTGGAACTGCTAGGCCA